AGGCACAGAGAATGGAGGAAGCTAGTCTATCAGTTCTTCTCTCCCTCAAGAACATCATCCAGAGAAAGAAGTGGTTGTAATCTTGAACGTTCCTGAGGCTCCTCTAAGGCAATGCTTTCTACCTGACTTTTATGAAGAACAGAGGGATAAGCAGCCATGGTCAAAATAATAACTTTATCATAATTAAGCTTTGATCAAGCTTTTGCAGCCCTTTCTCTGTCACGCACTATGGATTGTCATGTTATCCTTCAATTTCTGAAAGTCATCTACTGGGTCGTTCTTCTCAGATCTGTTTTCCCTGCCTAACCTGATACAAAAGTTGATTATCTCTTCCTTCTTCTTCCAAGTCAAAGATCATCAAATTCAAATTATTCAGGTGTTATTATAAAATGTAGCTATCCAAAGATATGGAATCAACCTAAACATCCATCAGTGGCAGATTGGATAAAGAAAATATGGTGCATAGACACCATGGAATACTGTGCAGCCATAAAAAAGCATGAGATAATGTCCTTTGCAGGAACATGGATGGAGCTGAAGGCTATTATCCTTAGCAAACTAACTCAGGAAGAGAAAATCAAATACTGCATGTTTTCATTTATAAGTGGGAGCTGAATGATGAGAACACACAGATACAAAGAGGGGAACAACAGACGCTGGGGCCTACTTGTGCCTGGAGGGAAGGAGGAGGGAGAGGATCAGAAAAAATAGCTGTTGGGTACTAGGTTGAGTACCTAGGTGATGAAATAATCTGTACAGCAAACTCCTGTGACACAAGTTTTCTAAACCTAAAAGTTAAGGTAAGATAAAATAAAATAAAAAATAGAATACATCTACCAATTTAAGTTTCGTTTAGTTTGGATTGTCAAAAAAAAAAAAGGCAAGATGAGATATGAAAATTGTCACTTTTTTGGAAAACAGTCATTTATTACTGACTGTCCCTATAACAGAAATCAGGGACATTTCTCAGAGTTAATAATACAAAAATATTCTAAGGATGAACTGAGAAAACTGAGACTTCCTGTAAGAGTCATAATAACCATTACTTATCAGTCTATTCGCACATGGTTTACATGCTGCATAGTTTGCATGATTCATTATTCATCTCTTTTATCTCAACTACTGACTTGACATAATTTTTTTGGCCCATAAATGGAGAGTTATTTGACCCACCTAATAAGTGATTTAGAAAAATCATAGAACAACAGTTATCAGCATCCTTACAGTCAGTTTTAATGTCATAAAACACTGTTTCAGCCAGGTTATTTGTGAGGTGGGTCACCATTTGTTATACGTAGGAGTTTAAGTATCAAAATTTGACAATTATCTTTAAAAAATAAGCAGATGTAATACCTGTTCACTCAGATAATAATATATTATTGAATATGTGCTTCTTTGAGTCGAAGAAAAAGGGTAAGTTCCTAGCTACTAAGCAGAAATTTGTATATAAACTTCAGGCTATCTCGTCTGTGACCAAACTGCTAGTATTAGTATTTCCATGAGAGTTTATCTTTCATGTGAATAGCATTTAAAACGAATGTGTCATGTGTTGTGGAAAAGGGTTTTGAACTTCTAGGTTTGAAGAGAGCAAGCAGCATGACAATCTCTAGTTTTGTCTCATATGGTCTATGTAGATATCAAAGCAACAGCTATTCCTAAGACAGACCTCACTGATACTGCACACTGAACGAGTGTTGTATCACCCATAAGCACAAGGCAGACGCAAAAATAAACCTACTCGAAAGCAATATACTGATGCCTGAAGGCTCAAACTACTTACATGTTTTTGTTTTTTTTTTTCAACTACAATTTTGAGCAGTCCAAGTTTAAAATGCTCACATGGAAATTAGATGACGTAAGTATCTACAAAAGATAAGTAACCATCAAAGCAAAGCCACAGTAGAAATTATCAGACACAGACCATAAGGCATTCATGTTTATTATGTTAAGTAATAAACATAAGCTTGAGAATTTTGACAAAAGTACTGGAAACTAAAAATATTGTAGTATATATGAGAAAGAACCAAATAAAAATTCCGGAACTAAAAAATTACAGTAATCAAAGAACACAATGGATGTGTTTATCAGCTGACCAGACAGCAGAAAAAAGAATTGGAAAATTGCATAATACATTAAAATAACTATCCACAGTGAAATGAAAGAAATTTCATCTCTTTCACGACAAGAGATGAAAATACAGATAAAAAGATAAGAGACATGGAAGACCAAACAGAAAGGTTAGTGGCTGAGAATATTCTACAACTGGCAAAAGTAACCAGTCTCTATTTAAGCAATCCAATGATTTCCTACTAGGATCTATAAATGTTTATCTAGATATATCTTTGTGAAACTACAGAAAGCCAAAGACTCAAGTTAAAAGATAAAGATCAAACACTAGACTGGATTTTAAAATGTTCAACCAAATAATGTTTACAAAGGCCACATAAGGATAAAAGAAAGTTGAAAACAAAAGGGTGGAAATTATATAATATGTAAATGCTAACCAAATACAAAAGCTAATAGTAATATCAAATAAATTTTATGGCAAAAATAATTCTTTGCTTCATAATAATCAAAGCTTTAGTTTACCAGTAATGGATAGCACCTTTAAATGTGGATTGTTCCATATAGACAGGATGCTGAAGAAATAGACAAATACCAATCACAGCCTGACATTATTTAGCATACCTTTTTTTCAGTAATTGACAAAGCAATCATACCAAAAGTTAGTGAGAATACAAAGGTTTTGAACACATGGTTAATAAACTTGACCTAATGGATAGGTATAGGAAAATATATAGAGTAATTTCAGAATATATATATATTTCAAGTACACACAAAGCATTTACACAGATTTATCATTTGTTGGCCATACAACAAGTCTTAACCAGTTTAACATGTTTGAAAATCTATAGCACATATTAGCTGGCTTCACTGGAATTTTGCTAAAAAGCAATAACAATAAGATAACTGGGATATCTCATGCATTTGGAACTTAAGAAATAAACCTCTATTTCACCCTGTACTGGAGGTACTAGCCAGCATGAAAGGGAATCATTCAATTAGTCAGTAGGAAAGAGAGAGAGAGAGATAGAGAGAGAGGGAGAGAGAGAGAGGGAGAGAGAGACTACCATAATTGTGGTGAAGAGAAAAATCTTATCATTCATCCAGTCAATAGGAAAGAAAGATGGACGGACAGACGGAAGGAAGGAAGGAAGGAAGGAAGGAAGGAGCTGTAAATCCAGCTACTTGGGAGGCTGAGGCAGGAGAATCATTTGAACCCGGGAGGCAGAGGTTGCAGTAAGCTGAGATGGAGCCACTGCACTCCAGCCTG